GTATCTTAAATAAAGTATAATTTTTGCTTTTTCATTAACTTTGTAACAAACTACTACAGTGAAGTAATATTCTACTTAAACACTATTGAGAGCTCCTCTTTCATGTCTTATGTTACTTGTGTTGTAATAAGAAGGCTGATACTTGTAACAGGATGATATTGGTATAATATAATTTACAGAATTACAACTCTAAAAACAAATAGAGTTTACTGTAAGTTGAGTACAAAGGTTTAGGTAATTATTCAAATTTATTAACAGTAGAATTTGAACTCTGAACCTCTTGCATAGCAGTCTAACAACCTAACTACTACACTAAAATTACTAGATCTATTATTTATATTTATTGATAATATCAAAATAGAAAAAGAATTAGTAATGTCTGGTAATTTTAGTGTAGTAGTTAGATTATCAGACTGCTATATAAGAGGTCTGAAGTTTAAATTCTAATAGCAATGAATTTGAATAATTATCTGGATCTTTGTACTTAATTTATAATAAACTCTGTTTGTTTCTGAGGTTGTAATCCTGTAAATCTCATTATACTAATATTATCTAAATATTAAGAGTATAATATAATATTGCATGAATAAATCTTAATAGGATCTATAAGCAGAGGATCTGTATAGTAGAAACTTTGAGTTGGTAAAGTAGTACAGCTTTTGATAGTTATATTAGCTAATACTTGATCTGAATAGAAACTATCACTCAAAAGATGTAGATTAAGTTAAATACAAGTAAGTCTATTCTATAAAAAAGATTAGCAATACCAACTTAGCTTAGTAGCTAATTGAATTTGGAAGGATCTATTTTATAAAATATCTAAAGAGATTAGCAAACAATATTAGTAGAAAGCCATAGTAGAAACTGGAGTTATACAAATATTTGCAAGGGTCTAAGCTAGATAATTTATGAAATAGACATGAACTGCTTTAGTCGAATTACTTATAAGATTAACTAGAGCTCTATATACTACAATATATTAAGCAATACATATCCTAAGAAGACTTAAGCTGAGTTAGGTAAATAGATCTATAACAAGCTGGCTAGCTTAAGCAGTTAGATGTTATAGTGACATTATTTAAGTTTTTCAAATCAGTCAAATATTTTTTAATGTAGTAGTAAAAAGTATTAAAACTGTTTTTAATTTTTTAATAGAAGATAATACAAAATATAATTTATTATAAATAATATTAGTCATTAGTATTGCAAAGTATCTGAGTTGAATATTTTAGCAAGCTAATAGGTTAACTCATTTTGTTTTCAGAATTATAGCAGATAAATTAGATTATATAAAAAAAAATATTAATAAAATATTTATATTTTAGAATTCAGAAAAAAATATATCTAAAATCTATTGACAGAGAATCTGTATAGTAAAAATCCTAAGTTTAGTAAATAGTATAAATTTTGATAGTTATACTAGTTAATACTTACTTTAATAAAAAATCTGAGTACAAAAAATATAGATTAAGTAGATATGAGTAAGTTTGCTATATAATACAGCCTAGTATCTTGTATTAGTAGCTACTAACTTAGTTTAGTAGCTAACTAGATTAAGAGAATCTATCTTATAAAATATTTGATTAAAATCTCAGAAGACTATATCTGATAAAGAGCTATAGCAGGAACTAAGTTCATATGAATATCAACAAAGGTTCAATTCAGATGAATTTGTGAAATAAATATATAACTACTCTAGTAAGAATTATATTTGAGATTAATTAGAGTTCTATATACTTATAATATATTAGACAATATGTATTTTGAAAGGATCTAAGTTATATAATTAATTAATTTATAGACAAATCAGCTAGCTTAAGCAATCAGATATAGTAATGATATTAGTTTGAGATGAAAAGAAGAGTTAATAATCAGAGTATTTAAATAGGTAATTCACAGGCAAGTTGCAAGTATAGCAGCATAGTGTAGAACTAACAGATAGTTAATTGTTTATATAATAGACTACTTAAATTAGATAATGACTGAAGTTATATATATGACTTATTGTATATTTATCATATAACTATAAAACCTTAGGAGACTACTCTTATAGTAACTTCATAATAACAAACTAATAAAATCTAATCAGCTAAGAAAGAGGCTTTAATAACAAAAAAAAAACATATCTGATATTATACTTTTAGAAATAAAAATCTTTAACAATACAATTCTGATATAGTTAGTTAAGCTTTTTTTAAATCTTATACAAAATATAAACTTGATATTTCACAATATTTTACCTTTCTTTCAGATAATACAAATTATATGAGTAGTTATATCAGAAGTATTATAACAAAATTCAACTAATTAGCTTAAAGTAATTGTATTCGAATTTCTTGTAGATTATAAATACAATATTTAGTTTTGAAAAGCTAGCCTTTAGTAAGCTTTTAACAAATACTGAATTTTTAAAAACATACTATCTATTTAATCTTCTCTATCTAACAAAGATATTATACAATAGATATGACTAAAGTAATAAGGATTCACTACTAAATATAAGAAATAAAACAATTTAAAGCTTTTATAAAGTACAACTTAATTATGAATTAACTAAATACTAATATCTTTTATAGTTATAGTAGCAATATGAATTAATTATAGCAGAACAATATTTTGAAAAATATGAAATTTATATCAAATTTATTTTGTAGTTCTTCCTAAAACTTAAAACTTTAAAAAAAGTTTCAATATCCTATATTCAAAAGTAAGAACTATTTCAAGATTAACTAAATAATTTTGAATTAAATATTAAGGTTCAATATTTAGCTAAATTCGAACAAGAATTTTACTATCTATTTTCAGAATTCCTCATTAGTTATAATTTCTAATTAAAAATTTTGCAGTCTAATAATTCATTATGATACTTGCCTTATAGTCATTATACATATCAAATACCAGATTTCATCTTTAATTCAACATATAAGCTTATAAATATCATAGAAAATTTTTGTTTGTTTTTTGATAACAAACTTTACAAAGTTCAGAAATTCTAAATAATTCAAAAATTAAATTACTAATTTACAAATTAAAAACTAAAATACAGAAAAAGCTTGAACTACACCAAAAATAGTTAAATTTTTGACTTCATCTTCTTTTAAGTATATATCATCTTAATGAAAATTATACACAACAATTTGCATGTAGTTATTGGCATATCATGCTTGAAAAACTCTGACTCAGGTCTCCTACTTTAAAAAAAATTAGTTATGCATGATTTCTTGAAACAAATCTAAAACAAAAATGTTTAATAATTTTGAGTTTAAAGCTGTTCTATCTGATAAATCTTTTTTTCAAGAATTCAATACATTTGTTAAAGAATCAAATGCTCAACTACATAAATATTCACAACTCTACGATTTTGTTAAAAACAAAATTTGGTATATTGTTGTTCATCAACAACAAATAGAAAGCCTATTTAACAAATAGAACTTAAAAACACATCCAAATATAACTAGTAATACTCAACAGTCCAGGATGCGTCTTTTAGCAACTAGAGTAAAAGAATATCAATTCAATCATAAACAACTAAAAGATATTCGAAATGAAAATAGAATCACTTACCAACAAAATTCTACCACTTCTCTTTTTCAGTCGGAAAGACAAAACGAGTAAGTTGCTGACGATCTTTTTAAGGAATTATTTACACGCCGCTAATTTTCTGAAATAATTTGTTATAACGTTCATTAATATAAATGTAAATATTTATAATTATAAAGTCAATAATTCTACTTCGCAATCCATGTAGATCAGTGTTCTTTTATCGAGGTTTAATTAAAATTACGGTTATAAATAAGTAGACTCAAATAAAATTCGAAAACTTCTAATAGTTTCTTATTTTTATAACAGCGATAATCGATTTAATCTGAAATTTTTTGTTACACACAGACCTTGCAATAAGGGACAACCCTGCACACAATTTTTATTGGCTAAATAGCAACGGTATTATTGAAAAAATCTGTACTATCAATTTTTACTATTATACCTGATATAGATTTGATTAATATGGTACGTATCAGTACTCGGTAAATAAGACCAGACACTAAAGTTATGTAATTTACGCCTTGATCAAAATTTATCTGCGAATGTTTTAACCATAATAAGCTCAATAAATATCTTAAACGCTCTTCTAGCATATTTTGATGATCTGATTCACTGTATAATTAGCAAAAGAAAAAGTACTAGCACTACTAAAATACTCCAAAGATTTTATTATGTTTTCGTTTAGCAGAATCTGCTGTGTGATACGTCAGATCTTAACTTTTAAATTGGGTGGAGTGCATATCGATATGTAATACAGCTCTTAAATGCACTTTTAATACTGTAATATCGATAAAAAGTCACTCATAAAAGTTCTCAATTAAAATGACACAACCAGAATCTAACACTATTCCGCAAAAAATAGATTATAAAAAAAATAATTATAATAATCATTTCCTTCGAAAACTTAAAGATGAACCTTTGATACCTATTGGTATGTCCAATTCATTTATATTTTAAATTTTTTTTTTTTTTTTTTTATATAACTCGTACTAATTGTTTAAATAAAAAAAAAAATCACCAGGAATGGTATTAACAGTTTTAGCTCTAGCTGGAGCAACAGTAGGATATCAACGAGGCGACTCAAAAACTATGCAAAAGTTTTTAAGATTTCGTGTACTAGCTCAAGGATTTACTGTAGCAGCAGCTGTTGGTGTACCAGCTTATTATAAAGTGATTAATAAAAAAATGTAAAGGCTTAGATAAAATTCAGTACTTCAGTTGGAATGCAATTATTTGTCTCTTTATTATCCTGTAAATTTTCTCTTTACTCAATTATTAATGATAACGATAATAAAATATCTGATAGTAGTCATATTTAGGTAACGCTAAAGTCATTTACCCACGTGATCATACATATTTAGCAGGTCTTTAATTCAACTTAAAAAGTAGATAGTTCTTTCACAAAGGGCAAAAAATTTTTTTGAAAAAATGGCCGAACAAAACCAAGCAATTTCAAATACTGAAGGTGGCTTTTGTACTGCAACAGAAACCCCTTCCATTTCAACATTGTCTCCGGAAGTAAAACAACGTATAGAGGAGAATCGTCGCAAAGCGAAGGCCATACAGCTGGAAAAGAAGTTACAAAATGGATCAATGTCAACTAAGCAACAGAATACAGAATCAACAGCTAATACGACTGAAAATAATACAGAGTCGACAGCTAATACAACTGCAAATAAACCCGAGGAAAAGCTGCGTCCAATGAAAAAATTTCAAAATTATGTGGATTATGATTTTTCTAAAATGGAAAATACTCATGGTGGATTTTTACTTGAAGATTCGGAAGAAAATTCAAAAAAACGAAAGCGCAGAGAACTTGAACCAGAAGATCCACGTTAGCCTTCACCTCTTGATCTTAATTATTTAAGAGTTTTGTATGTTATTAAAAATTCTTAAATTCATTTTATATTTATATAGCGATCAATCCTAATCTTTCTGAAAATCCAAGATGCAAGGAATGCCAAACTGTAGAAATTGATTATCAATTTCATCGTACATTTCACATAAATATCTGTAAAACTTGTCGTGAAAAGTTTCCTCAAAAATATAGTTTATTAACAAAGACTGAAGCAAAGGAGGTAAAACTTGTTATTCTTTATTCATAAAGTTTATTTAATTTAAACCAATTAATTCAAAGTTCATATTAATTCATATGTTAGGATTACCTATTAACAGATGGTGAGAAAGCAAAATTGATCCACTTTGTTAATAAATTTTTCCGCTATCGCAAATTGTCAATAATCGAATATAATGTCAGCTGAATTAAAGGATGAAGAGCGTTTGCCACATTTGTCAAGGCCAAACCCACATAAATCGACTTGGAATGATATGATGTTATATCTTCGAGAACAGGTACATTTTTAGTTAATAATTAGATAGTTCACTTTTACATTATTGTATTCAGTTAAAATCATTGAAGGTGGAAGAGTTCTCTTTTGAAAAATGGGGAGGAGCAGAAGCACTTGACAAAGAATTTGAAAAACGTCAGAATGAGAAAAAAAAGAGGAAGGATAAGAAATTTAAAACAAAGCTTGCAGGTAACATAATTATGAAAAAAAAAAAAAACAAACAAACCACAACTCTTATTAGAAATCTTGCATTATAAATAACTATAATTGTTATCTTAAGATCTTCGAAAGCGTACAAGAACTGAAGAATTAGAAAAGAATAGATACAATGAACATAAACATGAATTCGGAACGGCAGTCGAAGATCCTAAAACTGGAGTATCAACTCAGACATGCAGTTCATGTGGAATAAGTATCGAAGTTGTTTTATTTTAGGAAATAATGCTTATGATCCAAAAGTCATATTCAATTTTGCGTTGACAATTGCTTAAAACTAAAACTATCAAGTTGGATATGGAGAGTGGGGCTATGCAAAAGATAATGAATGTCATAATGTCTAATGTAGAATTTTAAAGTTGGGTAGGATAGCTTTCATATTATTGATCAATAATAAAAAATTCTTTAATAATTGATCATATAGTATTACATGATGTATGTCAATTAAATTAATGGTACTATAATAATGTCTAGGCTTTGCTAAGTACCTGGTAACCGTTATAGATAATTACTCAAAAATTTAAATTAATCTATTGGAGAAAAGTTACCCTATATTGATTCTTCAGTATTTCCAATAGCTCCTGAAGAAATTAAATAATCTTCGAGTCCTACATGAACCATCATTAGATCCAATATATATAAATGATTAGATCTCTTTTTGTAAAAACATAATAAATAAATAAATAAATAAATAAATAATATAATTACTCTTAAGGCTCATATTTATTCCACCCAATTGAGCTAATCCGACTAATTGTAATTTCATGTCACCTTCACCATAAATTAACAAAGTCGGTAAATTTTTATCTGGGTAGTTTGGTATACATTGATCGCCAATTATCTTTATAAACTTGGTCGCCTTATATTTTGCGGCAAGAGTAGATAGGTGTGCATTCATGAGTTTACACTCTGGTATACTAACCATAATATGGGGTGTCAATTATTTGTAACTTTGTAATTCCATTTATGTATGCGTATATACTTACTAATCCTTAAACAAATGCACTACCACCCAAACTTCTTTACTAGCTTCGGTGACTTCTCTTATAAAATCTGGTTTAGATATTTGAATTAATTCACCAAATTTATTATGTAAAGCTTCTGCCTTCATTTCTGCTATTCTTTTCAGTCTTGATATTAGAAAATAAAACAATGTTTATTAATTATAGCATGATATAATTGCTTTATAAATTAAAATTTACCTATATTCCAATAATATACGGTCATCCTCTTCATCTTCCAATTCATCCAATTCATCCAATGTTTTATCTTCAAGATGTCTATCTTGTCTTTCCATGATAGCTTGGTCCATAGCTTCTAATATATCTTCAGTTGGTTCCTTTCTTGGAGGAAGAACTCCTCGTTCACGAAGAATATCGTTCCTGCATTATTGGATCAAAAGGGAATGAATTTTGATACATTGATTTGCTTAATAAAAAATCCGTTGCAAAAATTATACCATTCGGTATCAGCATTTGGGTCATCCATTTTTTTTTATGATAAATCTTTACAGCGTATTTTAGCACAGTATTTCTAAGCGCAAGTTTTAAATTTGATTGACGTTACACGAATAGCCTAACACTTAGGGATGGTTTTAAACAGTTTTTTATATATTTTTTATTGTTTTAAAAAATGTTTTAAAACATCAGTGGCTGATTTGAAATTTGGCTGGAACTGAAACTACCGCCTCTGATTGGTTAATTCAGTTTCAGTGAAAGATTTATCTTTTTATAATTCTATAATTGAATTTATTCGTTGCTTGTAAAGAAATTATGAAGAAGTCATAAATTTGACTAATTTAATTTATTTTTTCTTTATCGAATAAATGTACCTTTTTATAATTAGAATTAATTCGTTGAATATAAAAAGAAATTATAAAAAAGTTATAAAAATGTATTTTTTGACTGATTTAATTTTTTTTTTAATTATTTTATCAACGTGCTTTTGCATTTTATATATACTATATTTATTGATATTATAAGTCAAGACCTACAATATGTATTGCAAATATTACTGCTACATAAAGTTTTTGAAAATAATTTAAGCAGTATATTTAATAAATAATTTATCTTTCCAAATTATTATTACTATTATCATCATCAAACCAACTATCATCTTTGATTTCTTTTTGGATTCTCAGATTTTGGTAAACAGTCACAAGTTTTTTTACCCGATTATTATCTAAGCGTGCATGATACTTATTATGGATGAACCCGAAATTGGACCAGCAATGTTCTGCAGCAGCAGAAGAGGCTGGCAGTAAGAGAACCCGGCAAGCAAGTTCAACTACAGGAGAAAATTTATTCAAAAAATTTGATTGCCACCAGCTAATTGGACTTGAATGCTTAACGGATGTCCATAGTAATAGTTCAGAAAATTCATCAGCTTTGACAATATATTTTTGAATTACTCCGTAAATCTTAAAAATATATATATTAAAATTACAATCTAGTAAAACCAAATACTTTTACAATACTTACATATGCTGCAATTTCTAATGTATAAGTATTTTCAAAATACAGAATAATAATATCTTCTAGATCATTTTGTCTTAGTGATTTTTCATAAATTCTAAACATAAAAATATTTATTTTAGATAATTTAATAAATAGATAAATAAATAAAATAGATAAATATAATAGTAATACTTTGAATCTAAAAGATTTGTAATCACTATTGCAGGATGAAAAGCAAATTCAAATTATTTATTAATCAATTCGAGAACTTTTGTTTTAAAATCTAACTCTAAATCATATGAATTGATCAATTCTTGAAGTTATTGCTATTCAGAATAAATATGTAAAAGCAAAAAGTTATCAGACTCAAATAATCATATAAGTTTAACAAATGGCATTAGAAAAGAAGCAAGTTTTTCTAATTCTTTCTATAATGTATCATTAAATATTTGATCTTTAAGATCTTGTGTAATTTTTTTTGCTAATCTCAAGTTGTATCACAGTTATTTGAATTCCTAACTTGTATCTAAGAACAGATTGTATAGTATCTAAACAAGTTCCCCAATATGTATTAACAGATTGAACTAAAGTTATTGTATTTGGTTAATTAGCTAAAATTGACTCTGCTAGATAACGTAATTAAAAAAAGCCAATAATCTGCTTTACATAAATTATTAATTTTTCTACTCAATCAAGCTTAAGTATATCTTTAATTAAAAGATTCCTGATATATGTATTACAACCCAAACATATTAATTGAGAATAATCTTGATTTAACAATCTCCAAGCTGCTCTCATTGAACTTATATTGTCTGTTATGATCTCAGCAAACTTGAAAGAGCCAACATGTTTTATAATTGTCTTAAACTCATTGTAAATATATTCTGCAGTATGTGATTCAGACTCAGAATACTTTGCATTATAAAATATTAGTTGTGGAAGACAAAGAATAAAATTTAAAACAGATTCTTGTCTAATATTAGACTATCTATCTGATACTAACACAATATTTTTAGCATCATTTAGAAGTATATCCAAATTTTGTTTCTCAACTTGATATTTAGCATCTAGTAGATTATTAGCCAAATTACATCAATTAAGGCTAATATAAAATGAGTTTATATTTTTAATATAGTGTTGTACAGCTTCAATAAATTCTTCCCAAAAAGGGTTTTCTATTGCTATAAAAGGAATTCTAGGTGAAAAAAAGAATTTTGCTAATAAATTATCTATATCTAATTTGCTTAATAATACTGTAAAACCAGAACTTGAAGGTTTAGCAAATTTTTTACATTTTTTGGAAGCTCTTTACATTTAGTTAAATATTCTTTTAATCAGCTAATTAAATTAACAACATCCTCATTACAGTAATTACACTTTTGATGAGGTGTTGTTTGACGATATTTGTCACTTTTTGTAATTTTTATAAAGTTCAAACAAATTTCTTTTAATGGAGGTCTTTCACGAGACATAGTTATTCAAGGTATTTTTTTTTTGATATTAGTAATCGTATAAAATACTATTTAATAAAACCAAATGCATAATTTTATTTATTTATTAATAAAATTAAATTGCATAACTTTATTTATTTAAATTATATTGTGTAATTTTATTTATATATAATTACATCATAATGTTTTAAAACAATTTTAAACAATTAAAAATCAAACAATCAAGATTTTTAAAATCATATTTTAAAACATTTGCCATCTCTATTTATGAGCCAAAGAATTTAATCAAGTCAATGATGTTTTTTATTAAAGGGCAGAATTGCTCGCTTATATACTTGTTGGAACAATAGGTTTGGTGATAACGTTTATCACTCTTAAAACCATTATAATACATATAATGAATAAAACCATTAAAATCAATAAAACCTTTATAACGTTTATAAATGTTATAATCATTATAAACGCTATAACCCTTAAAACCACTATAATGATTATATAGGTGATAATAGTTATATTCCTTAAAACTACTATAACTATTATAACTATTATAACCATTATATCCCTTATAACCATTATAACTACGGGTTCTCTATAAAAGTGGAAGATCTACTTAGCTGTTGAGAAGGTGTGAACTGGTTCTGAGACAGAACTCAATTGAAGGTTTATGGTTACACCAATATTCAGGTCTCCAAATAACCAATACTATCAACACTAATCCAACAATCAACCCTAAGTTGGTAGGCTGAAAGACAGCATAGAAGATTTGGTTCGGGTCTTAGAGATCTTGTGAATTAACCTATAGTTTAGCCAGGTACTTGAAGATAGGAGTTTCGTTATTCTTAGTTCTTATACTTTAGAATAGTTTCGGGGCACGTGATTTGGTCTTCTTTCTAATTGGGCTGATGGTTTAACAATAGTGAGGAGTTTATCAATAAAACTATATGCAGGATGATTGCTTATTGTTTAAATTGATTGAGTTTTGATTATATCAGGAGGGGGATAACTGGGGATAAGTGAATTTAGTAGTTGGGAGTTAATTATAGATTTTTCAATTGTCTCAAACTTGAGATGATCTTTTATTAAAGATAAAATGATATCGCTTTTATACTTTTCATTTTGTTAGTAAATACATTTGGGATTTAATTGATTTTGCTAAAATATC